GCTACCCTGGTGCATTTTGAATTTCAGAATGAGGCCTTTATGTACGCAAAGAGGATGAAATTACATCAAAATAAAGAAAAGTGTCAGTGTTACGTCTGCGACAGAAAAAGTATCAGCATTCTTTCCAAAGCAGCTTTGCATAAGCAGCTTGGACGTTTCGACTTTTCCCCTCTTACTCAGGAAAACGAGACAACTTATTAGTGTTTTCCAATAGATCGCAGGCATTTGTTGTAGACGTTTATCTTCATCGGCAGTTAGTTTTATGTTAGGGTAAGCCTGCAAATATGACCCAAACTGCTATTTGCATGAGTAATGACCGAAAACCCACTCCTTCAGCAAGCGCTTTCGAGTAATATCTCATTTTGAAGGTTTTGAAAGGAACAAATTGCGGTAAGATGATAGTTGGTAGCCGTGCCCACAGACTCCACAATGGGTCTTACTGGCTTGATTTCAGTAGCTGTGATTGCGTTCTCATTATGCTTCTTAATTCACGCGCACGCTGTATTACCTGTATCAGATTCATTTTAGAGGAGCTATCCTGGGCAGATTTGCGCCGGAAACGATGACAATGAGGCTTACCCTATATCAACTTTCGTTAGAAGAGGTAGTTGGCAGGCGTGCCCACAGAATCCACAATTGTACTTACTGGCTTGATTTCAGTAGCTATGATTACGTTCTCATTATGCTTCTAAATTTACGCGCGCGCTGTATTACCTGTACCAGATTCATTGTGTAGGTACTATCCTGGGCGAATTGGCACCGGTAACGATGACAATAAGACTTTCCCTACATCAACTTTCCTAAGACAAGGTAGCTTTTACCTGCCTCATTCATTGTAGAGGTACTATCTTGGGCGGATTGGCACCGGTAACGATGACAATGAGGCTTACACTTTAGCAACTTCCACTAGCAGAGGTAGCTTTCGACTGCCTCATTATTTGCGGATTTTCTCTTCCGCCCAAACCAATTTTTCGTATAAAAGTCTTGCCCGGCTTGCGTTGTGGCGTCCCGCGTGCCGCTGCTTGACACTCGTGTTCTTCTGTCCATTATGTTGGATGGAGTTCTATCGCACACACTGCGGAATGACCTTCGGACCAGTTGCCTTCTTCCCATTGGTTGTTCGCCTTCACTTGCTTTTCTTTCCAATCTGAGGCTAGGATGCATTTATTCCGCACACCGTTCAAAGTCTCCTTGCTCATTTCCATACCTTCCTTGTATTTTTCACCTTATCTGAATTAGGCTTCCATTTCACCTGGAGCGTCAACTCCTAGCATATACTACAATCGCCATTTACCCGCCCGCTCAATTGTCCCACCCGTATAGCCCCTATTACCACCGGTCCCGATTGACAGGCTGCTGGGAGTTTGCGGTGTCAGGAGGGCTACCAAGTATCATCTCACCCAAATTGCTTATGCTGCTTTAATTACTCTGTTTTTCTCACAAACAGGCTTTAGGTACCTCCGCAAACTGATTTCACTCGTTTAACCCGAACTGTAGCAATATAAATACTTCAACTTTTCTTAATGATATATTGTTATTCCTGTCGTAATATCACTTTCAGAACTGTTTTTGTGTTTTTATTTAAGCGGAGGTAGT